TTGGTTAATAATAATTAATAATTATTATTAATCCAAGAGGTCTCATCACTATATATAGCCAAATTATTTAAAGTCTTAAAAGTTATACAATGTAGTCATCTCTTACACATTGGTGTAACATTCGTAAATAGATTTATATGCATTTATCTGTCTATCGCACGTTTAACGACTCTAACATTTTTTTATTACTTACCACATAACCCATCGTTTAATAATAGGTCCAACACCTATCTTTTCAATATAGCTGTATAACATAGGCATACAAAAACCAGAAACGTAGACGACTTCTATGATTGTGTATGTGTATATAAGTTCTTTTAGTCTATTATAAAATTTGGGTTATTCATTTATTTATGTATTACGAAAAGGGAGAACTCCACATTACGTTTTGCTAATTTAACTTATTTCGTGAACTTGATAATGCAATTCGAGAATATTTCAGGTATTTCAGATATTAAGATATTGTAGTCAAATTTTGATGAATATTTTTTTAAATTTAAATGAAGAATCTGTGAAACAAAATCACAAGATCACAATATCCAATCAGAATCAAGGTTTGTGTACGAACAAAAAAAATCGGATCTATCCATATATTTCGTTTCACTACGTTCCTGGTATATTGGTACTGGTATATGCAATGTCAACCCTTGCATAATCGTGTAATATGCTTGCATATGTTTCCATTTCTTATCTTATCGTTATAAACTAAAAATATATGCCGAATATTTAAATGTTATTCTTATGTATGTAGCAAATAAAAATTACTAAGGTTTAAATACCAACATGATGTGATTTAAAAGTTTCTGCCCCTATTCTCAAATGAGATACTACTTATAGATACATGTGTAAGTATTATATATCTTTTTACTTCACTCTAGTGCATATTACTAAACATTTGTATGATCACTATGTTAAACACGAAATTTAGGCTTATGAATTATTATAATTAATGATCAACTAACTGAATTAATTGTTTTTATTTTTACGTATTTTTATTTATTTATTTTTTTTTAATAATAATAGCATATATATTTCTTATACATAGCCATGCATATTGATTGGACCCGAAATATATAGTAACTTGTATATAGATAACCAATCTCTAGATCCATGTTAGGAAAATCCATGGGATAAGCTTGAAGCGCATAGAGAGACTACGATAACACGTGACAAATTTAAAGTTTAACACTAATAATTACAATTATGCGTTATGCCAAGTTTACTAAATTTTTACGTAATACTCGTTGGATTCCCCGACGATTGCCGGGATTTTGTGCGAAATCCATATTCATTTACTATACAAAGATTTTTGTATAATATTTCAAAAGGTTTGTTTAATATTCATTTACTACACTTTTGCCAACACCAGGGACTTTTTTAATATATAAAAATTTTCTTAAAAACTTTCCCTAAAATCTTATACTAAGAATATTTTTAAAATACGGCAAATATATTTAAATATTTACTATTACCTAGTATATATATATATATATATATATATACAGTATAACCTCGATATAACGAACCTCGATATAACGATAACGAAGATTATTTCTAATTTTTATGTTTAAATTATCCCTGATATAACGAAACTATTAATAAAGTTTTGATATAACGAAGAAAACCTCCAGCTACAGAGCTTCGTTATATCGAGGTTATACTGTATATATATATATATATACTATATATATAGTATATATATATATATATATATATATATATATCGATATTAACAATAAAATAAATATTTTTTAACTGACGATAGTGTCAATCACAGACAGCTTACAAGAATTTTTTGAAAAAAAAATCCGATGAAGCCACAATACCAATCCAGGAGATTTATAACTAAATTCTCTTGTATAATGTTATATTAGACGTGTGTTCCCACAGACTATAGGGACACAAACTCGGAGGTCCATATCGCCTAATGCAGGATCTTTGAAGATATTACGTACGTACGTACGTATTTATTATGTATTAGGCGCGATTTAATAATACTTAATAAGTTTAATACGTGTACTAATTATTATATATGGAAAGTAATCCAAATATCCTAAATGTCAATCGCGACTCAGTATTATAACAGACGCGGCAAAATTATGTGGGATCGATGAAAATATGCAGCATTTGGTCACACGTACGTATGTATGTATGTACTTAGAGGTGTAAATCGATTATTCCGCTCCAGTTATTAATAGTTTTATTGAAACTAAATATAAAAGCAGGTCGAGTCGATTAACACCCCACACGTACTGGACAGATTATAACGTGTTTAAGCTTGACTTAATTTGAATTTGTGACAAGCAGTTTATGTCACGTAATAATTATTAATTATATATGTTTATTGATATTTAAAATTTGTGAGTAAAAATTACTTTAGCCATTTACATTCATTAGATGCATGCATTTGATTATTATTATAAATCATACTGTAAATATTGATTTGCATGTTAAAGCGAAGATCTTTTGAACATTTTGAACTTTGAACAGTCATTGAGACATTTTAAGCAAACAGAGTTCCTACATTGCTCTGAGGTGTCACCATTCAATTCCGAATAAAGGCTTATAAATCATAAAAGGATAAATATATTTTTAACATTTACTAATAAGGGGATTATTTAGGAAGTCAGGTGCAATACAATATATTGCAATATAATATATTTTTATTTATCTAAATATATTAATCAAAGCCTTACTATTATTAATTAACTAGAGATTAGTATTATAGTCTTTATATTAAATGATGTCTTTTGCTAATATACAGTATATACATCAAATATTGTAATTGGTAAAAGATGATGATCCTTTTCTAACAGAACATACTTTTTTCAGAGCAAGAGCGTGTACATGCTTGAATACCATATAAAGTGAATATATGACGCGTCCGGACATGATTACCGCTTGCATAATAGATATCCAAACCATGAATGGCGTCTGAACATGACTATCACTTGCATAATAGACTTTCCAAACCTTGAATGATGTTGACGAAGATGAAGGACCTTTAAGTATTTTTTTTTTTTCTTTCTTTTTTTTTTAATTGAATCCCGAGTTTCAAAATGTGTTTCAAATGTATGCAATCTACAAACTTTCTTTTTTTATATATATTTATTATTATTTATTATTCTTTTAATACCCAATACTAATAGTTCAATCTATAAAATTTATGATGGTGTTGTTTCCTTCGAAAGAATATTAAGTCTCGGCAGAGTTTTTGTAAACTAGTCTTATGGTACACACATGAACATATATTCAGCCGCATTGTAAGTACGACCTAAAGTTTGATACTTTTAGGAAAGATGGCGGCTTCATCTTCTCGCGAGATATAATCTATGCAATTATTATTATCGCCTGTTCTCTACGAACCAATCAAAGTCAATCGGATAATTTACATTTAAAAGAAAAAAATAGAAATAGAAAAGACAAAGGACGCCATTAACGTAACAAAGCAGATCTTGTATATGATAATGCAAATGTATGTCTAACAATTTCCAATTGACGCGGCTTTTGCTTTTAACCACAAACCAGACCATTGGATGATCATTGATGCCTTAAAATACAGGCATGATTGAACAACTCAATTACGTGTTGTAATTTACTTTTCAAGTATCCCTGTAATTGTCACATAGGATAACAGGCGTAAGTAAGGGCTATATCCCTGCATAAGATCAGTCGCTCAAATTGAGTTTATCTTTAGTAAGATTGGAACGCGAGATAACATTTATAGTTAGCCAATTACCTTAAAAATTTATCAGTGTTCTGAACTCAATACACATGCCTAGTTTTTCTCATGTGAAATTTAGTGAATACGTACTTTAACTCGTGTCAATATTAAAAAACTTTGGCCTAATATGATCCAAGTAGGTTACGTTAGAATTGTTAAGTGTTTAAAGTATACCATGTGTGGCGCAGAAGTTGTGCAAATCTTTTTACAAAAAAACATAAAATACGATATAAAATCAATCTCGGTCTATTTATTACGTACCGTTGAAAGATTTTTTTTTTTTTTTCATGTTCCAAGACATTGGTTTGCTGCATTATCTGCAACGCACGTTTATGTCCCTGCTTTAATTACCTGCCGATCTCATACTTAAATTTTTCATCTTCAGAATAACGATATCTATTATGCACACTGTAAACCCTGAAACCGTGGCCTTTCCGAAAATCCGCCTTGTCATTGTTTAACATATCCGATGCCTAAATATAAACTATAAATGTATGCCGAATATATGCAGTATATATTTGTTATTTTTTTTAGTATATATTTGTTATTTTTTTTAGTATATAGTTATTTTTTCTTTATATATTGCATGATATCAAATTTTTATTGGGCTATAAAGTTATGGTTCGAGATATGGAATATATAGCATACATATATTTCTTGCAGTCATTTTTTATTTATTTTTTATTTATACTGTGTAATATTCGTGAAAACTCCTTGCAGTATTTTATCACGATGTAAAAAAAAAAAAAAAAAATTTTTTTTTTCTTATCCAAATTCGTTATTGCACTGAAGAACACCAATGACATTTATATTTTTTTGTAAAAAATAAATCCAACTTTTTTATGCATCCGTTACTGCGTTTTCTCGACGGATTATATCAACGCACGCCTATTATTATGTGATTTTATTTAGCCTTTTTATGTTGCCTTTTTTATCTTTACTTTGTTTTAACACTTTATAGTGCCTTTTTCTGTGAAATGCACGAACGGCATTTATAAAACATCGTATCGTGTCATTCTGTCAATTTTTTTTTAATATTTACATTTTCAAAGTCATAGTGTTTGGCTATCTCAAAGAATAATTTTGATTGGCATTGTAATACTTAAAAACAAAGCTGCAAATTACCAAGGTCATATTTGTGAATCCTTTTATTCAAAAACAAGAGTTTGAGTTTCAAAAGAAAATAAAGCTCGATTAAATTTTATGAAATTTTTTGGATTCCTCATAAGAAATCCTTGTTATAATACAAAGTTTTTTTCACAATAAAGATTATATTATGGATATCTTAGAACTGCTCCACGTAGAATCCTATTGTAGTGACGCTCGTCCTTTTAGCTGCACTTGGGAAGGTTGTCATAAGGCTTTCTCAAGAAGATCTGATCTCTCTAGGCATTCTCGAATTCATACTAAAGAAAGGTGTGTTGTTCAAACTTTTTTTATAATATATAGAGCTAATAATTGCTAATATGTTCATGTTACGGGCAGATCTTTTACCTGTAACGAGCTTGGTTGCGGTAAAAGCTTTATTCAGGTATTTATCGAGTCTGAACACAATGTTCTTCATTTGATTTTTTCTTTCTTTTTTGTTTTTGCTTTTTTTCTGTTTTTTTTTTTTTTTTGTTTAATTCGCCTATTGTGCAGAGGTCTGCTCTTACGGTACATTTACGGACGCATACAGGAGAACGACCTCATTTTTGTGAATATCCAGATTGCAACAAATCTTTTTCCGATAGTAGTTCTCTAGCACGTCATAGGCGTATTCATGCTGGAAAATTTCCTTACAAATGTCTTATCGATGGATGTGAAAAAAGGTATTTTTCTTTCATATAAAGACGCGTCGATAAATTGCAAAACAATTCTGTATATTTCACATGATTTACATTACATTTTTAAAAGTTTTTGCAGAAAAACAAATTTGATTAAACATCATCGACAAGTCCACATGATGCCTCACAAAAATGATCGAACTATTGAATGGCCTTCTATTGAAGAGCTTCAATACCAAAAACTGCAACAAAACATTTCTTTAAATCAGACATTCCCTCCTCCTTGGTCTTTACCTGGTGTGTCAGCTTTTCAAACGCATCAACATTTCCAACAAGGATATTATACATCACTACCTCCATCATCGTCGTATTATTTTGGTCAATCTATGCGTCCTGCTCATTTAGGACAACGGTCTTACTTTATGGTCCCTAATTATTACCATCATTAAGTTATCTGTAGCTTTATTAAAGAAAATCTATCAGAAGAGCTCGCGAACTTACAGGACTTTACCGAATTTATTACCATTTTCTTGTTTGTCCTCCCCCTTTTTTTTTTTTTTTTTGCCATGAACTTAAAAAACCTTTTATTTGTAAATTTGATAAACAGTTTGAACAATTGAACAGTTTAAAAGCTTTTTATCTTTTCTATATAAATAAAAAAATTCAAAAATAGATAAGAGTAAATTAAAGAGAATAAGAACGCACAGTTGGATTTTATACAAAATTTCCTTACTTTGTTAACAAAAAAGAGACTTTTTTTTTAACAAAAATATATATGTTTGTGTATATACGTGTATATTTAATAAGCAGATTTAAATATTAATATAGATTTGAGAATAATTTATTGAATCCCTATTCTTACGGTACGATTTAATATAAATTTTTAAGTTCATGATTATTTATTAGATATATTCATTAATTTTATTTGTATTAATTTGGCACAGAACATTATAAAGAATACTGTATTTAAAATTTTTTGATTAAATCAAAAAATATTAATATAAAATTTTTTTTTTTTTTTTTTATAAAAGATACTAATAGTTATAAACCCTCACATTTTTTTACTACCCTAGTGCCTGTCCTCGCAAAGTGCAGACCACTTTTTTAAGCCAAGTAGTTCGTAATTATTGCTCGCTTTGTGATTGTAGGCATAGAAATGATAGGCACCTTTAGGCTTGACTCGCGTTTACTAAAGTACTCAATATTTAAACCGGGCGTTGCGCTCGTAGGTATCAAAGTTTCCATACTTGTACCCTGAAATTTTTTATCGAGATGAAGACGAAATTCAATAGGTTATTCAATCAAAATTTAAAATCAGGTCTAATAGAAGAATTAAAAGATCTTTCGTAAATCCAAATTTAACTACGATATTTTGTGCTCCATTAAAAAAATGGGTTTATAGAATTTACTTAGGGATGTTATGTGGTCTTAAACCAATAGACCACAGTTAGTCTTAAGACCGGTCTGAACCTGGAAGAAATTGGTCTGCACTTATTCTTAAGACAAGACCGATCTGGACCGTTCTAGTCTAATTAACTCTTAAGGCTATTATTATAATAAACCGGATCAGACCAAAAGAATCCTTTAACATTTTACTAAAATTAGACTTCTCTAAATGCAAGTCGTCGGAACCGTTCTAAAGCGTGTATTTAGGAAACGCCCTTAGCTATCCCACAAAAAATTGTTCATCCCCTGTAATATTGGCCAATCGGATTTCAGGATCAGGTATAACGTAAAAACCGAAGCATTTTAAATTTTAATTAGAAAACCACCTTCTGCGGCCTAATTAAAAATGCTCCTCGTGAATTTTTACCAATAGCTTTATCCCTAACTCTACACTGCTCTCACCCTAATCCTAACTATAACGCGGTTTCTTTTTTATACGCGACCTTTTACTTAGAAAACAAAGCACGTTTGTTTTGACTATCACGTTACACCTGATCTTAAATTTTGATTGGCCAAAATTACAGGGTGAATAATTTTTTGTAGAAATGCTACCAAAAATATATAGAGAGAATTGCAATTAGAGAATTTAATAAGATTAAAATTTAAAATATTTAAATAAAAATTTTTTTTTTGATAATATTTGAAAATAAAGATTATATTATAGTAGTATTTAATTTTATATTATAAGAAAAAAAGTTTGGTTGCTTATAAGCTAAAAACAAATAAATTTAAAAAAAAATTTTAACTAAAAAAATTATTTACAAATTCTTGATAAACTTTTTAAATATTAGTTTTAAACTTATCAGTTATAGTTCTTAATATAATATTATAGTTTATACAAAGAATAACAACTTTATTACTATACCTTTAATATAAGATTTGTTAACCAAATTTGTATTTTAATCAAATTTGTATATTTTAATCTATCATCAATAACTTGCATTCTAATGATTCGATTTTGATGCCTTTGATACCATTCAAATCCTCTTACAGAGAGGTTCGAATAGTATAAAAATCACCAAGATTGAATTATTAGAATGCGAGTTATTGATAATAGATCAAAATATACAAATTTGATTGAAATACAAATTTGGTCAACAAATCCTATAATTTATTAATAAAAATTAAGACTTGTATTAGAATCAAATTTTTTTTTTTTCAGCATTAAGATGATCTCTTTGGCTATGAGAACTTTTTATTAGTACACGTCACTCTGGATATACCGACATCTAGATATACTGACATCTGGCTATAACGACACTTTTTGAAATTTTAAACC